TTCCAATTCAATACCATCAAGGTGGCATGTACCAATGCCATCTCACTTGTCCAAGTGATCAGTTTCAGTTCACAACTGATCATAATGATAAGTCTAAGAGTCAAAGGGATCACATAAACAAGACTAGTGTCTCCTAATACTAAATGAAAGTATTAAAAAGGAGAGAATGATCCAACATGGGAAGCAGGATACACAGCAGACTCATAGAATGGCAGATGTCCTCTGGTCTCAGAATCAGCCCTTAAGGCATCTGGATCTAGCTAAAGAACACATGAAAGTATTTTAGGCATGTAAAGCCAAGACACTCTGGGAAAAAAAAAAACACCTAAATGAAAGATCTCTGTGAGTAAGATCCCAGTGGAAAGAACGGGCCATCAAAGAAGGAGGTACCTTTCTCTGAAGGGAGGAGAGAACTTCCACTTTGACTATGGCCTTGTCTAATTAAGATCAGAGTTGGCGAACTCAAAAAGCTTCCATAGCCTTGGGAACTCATGACAAGAGCCTAGGGTGATTACTGCAACCATAAACAAGAGTGTCAGTGTGTTAAGTCAACAACAGGAGTCACTGTGCACTTACTCCCCATGTAGGATCTCTGGCCTTAATGTATTGTACTATGTGACTTAATGGTATAACTAGTACTCAAACAGTACTTTACACTTTGTGTTTCTGTGTGGGTGCAAACTGTTGAAATCTTTCCTTAGTATATACTAAATTGATCTTCTATGTATAAAGATAATTGATAATGAAATTTGATGTGCATGGAATGGGAGAGGGAGCGGGAGATGGGAGGGTTGCAGGTGGGAGGGTATTTATGGGGGAAAAAGCCACTGTAATCCAAAAGCTGTACTTTGGAAATTTATATTTATTAAATAAAAGTTAAAAAAAAAGGAATATGGCAAGAATGCTTTCACATGGAATATATTTATAGTGCAATTAAATTAGAATGTCACAGGTTCCTAAGGCCATTTTTAGGCTCTTAATGCTAAAGGACAGATAGGCAGAGATTGGGGTCATGGCACAGGATAAGATATTGAGCTAGAAGGAAATTAGTTGGGGCCAGTGCTGTGGCGTAGCTGGTAAAGCCACCATATGCAATGCCAGATTCCCATAAGGACACCAATTTGAGTCCTGGCTGCTCCACTTCTGATCCAGCTCCCTGCTGTGGCCTGGGAAAGCAGTAGAAGATGGCCCAAGTCTTTGGGCCCCTGCACCTGCGTGGGTGACCGGGAAGAATTTTTGGCTCCTGGCTTCGGATTGGCGCTGCTTCGGCCATTGGGGCTAGCTGGGGAGTGAACCAGCAGATGGAAGACCTCTCTCTCTCTCTCTCTCTCTCTCTGTCTCTCTCTCTCTGCATTTCCTTCTTTCTTTGTGTAACTCTGACTTTCAAATAAATAAATAAATGCTTAAAAAAAGGAAGAAAATTAGTTGTGACAGAGTGGAGATAAGGATAATATGTTGGTCAATAGAAAACCATGGCACCCCAACAAACACAAGAGTACCAAGGACTCATATGCTGCAGGAACGAAGGAAAGATCAATAAGCAAATAACTGCACCAATATAAGATGCAAGAATGAGGAGCAAAGAATGTGGGTGGACAAATGAAGCAGTTAAGACTATAACCAGAGCTGGAAGTGGGGCTTATACCAATATTTTTTATTTATCTCCTTTTCCTCTTTCATCTCCCAGTAACTTATATAAAGAATACTATTGTAATTACATTAACCCATAGACAAAGTACAAAAGTCCTATAGAAAAAATTATAAATTTTAAAAAATTTGAAAATAAATATAAGACATGTACAACTATGTTATACCTACAAAAACCTATGCATGCAATAGGTTATACCTACAAATCTATGCATGCAATAGGTCTCAAAAAGTTTATGAAGTGGCCAGCACTGTGGCACAGCAGGATAAGTCACCACCTGTGATGCTGCCATCCCATACTAGCACCTGTTTGAGTCCTGACTGTTCTCTTCCCATCCAGTTCCCTGCTTAATGCAACTGGGAATGCAACAGAAGATGGCTGAAATAGTGGAACCCTGCCACTCATGGGGGAGACAGATGGAGTTACAGACTTCTGGCTTTGGCTTGGCCCCACTCTGGCCATGGCAACCATCCGGAGACTGACTCAGTAAATGGAGACTAACTCTGCCTTTCCCTCTCTCTGTAACGCTTTCAAATAAATGAGTAGATACATCTTTTATAAACAGAATTTGTTAAGAGTTACAAAAAAGGATAACAAAAAATGTGGATTATGACAAAACTGCATGGATTTCAAAATTTAAAATAATAAATATATAATAACATAACAGTAAACATAGATAGTATTACCAGTACTATTGATAGTTTTATAAGTCAAAATAGGGGTTGAATAAGAGCATATATTTTAAATAACTAAATTAAATCAATGGAAGAACTTAAATGTAAATTCTTAAGCAAGACTACACAAACAGAAAAAGGAAAGAACTTTACTATCATTTCTTACTTTACATATCTATAGTTTAAAAATTTAGTATGTGCATATGTTAATTTTATAATAAAAATTTAAGTACTAGAAAACTATGTGCTGTAAGCCTGGTTTCAGCAGAAGTCAGCTGGTGATGAGCCCTGGTAGCTCTGCCAGCCAAGAGTTGGATTCCTGGAAATGGACCTGCCCTGGAATCGAAGGATGACCAGGTCAGAGCCACAGTTCTTACTGGCTCCAAGCTGAAAAGCCCTTCACTCAGCCCAGCTTCTAAAGTGACCACCACAGCTGAGAAAATGGCCAAGTAGGGTCAGTAACATTGCAGGCAGAACTGTAAATTTCCTGTTAGAGATGCCACCTGCCTTTACCTAGCCAGCTCTCCTCCCAGGCCACCTAGGTAATGGAAGTCAACAGGGTGCTTCCCCAAGGAGGTTCACACCTCCCTTAGGATGTAGCCTATGAAGAGAAAGATAAGTCTGGGCCTCATAATTTACAAGGCTTTAAAGCCCACCTGATTATTATCAAGCCCCTTCTGTCAGTTTCTATTGGCCTCTCAATCAGAAAACTTATTTGTAGCTTAGATAGCACCTTTCTTAGGTTCTCTAATAACAACTCTGTCCTCTGTATCTAACCCACTTGAGCCTCATTCCTTTGTAACCATAGCCTCGCCTCCACAAATGGCTCTACTTCCAACCTGTGTGTACTGATGGTCCTCTCCCCCACTTAATGTTGTATGGTTGTTCAGAATTTCTCTACAGACAAACCCCACTACCTACAAAATTTAAGTGGCCTTTTCTCCCAGTCTTGGCTGGAATCAGCTTTAAGCCACATCCATCAAACTGTCCTCACAAGGGTCCAGAGACACCCCCCCCCTCATTTCCTCTCCTCCATGAAATCCTCTCATTATTACTTGGTTAATGCTACTCTTAGGATCATTGGTTGCTATTCTCACCCTGACTTTTATACTACAGTGTCTATTTAAGTGTTTACAGGAGGTTATAATGGAACAAACGAAGGCCTTCAGCAACCAGGCAGTCAACCAAATGCTGCTACAGGGACATACTCGGCACCAAGGAGACAGCGGCTTGAGACATCACCCCATGCCAGAGAAAAGTACCTCATCACCCCATGTCAGCAGGAAGTAGCTCTAAAGACAGATCATCGTCCCTCTACCTCTCCAGGACTTTTGGGACTAATGTAATCCCATACAACTCCTGCTTTATAAAAAACAAAAGGGGGGAATGTTAGGAAACTGGCACAGTTTTATCTATGGCATGATCTACACCCTGATTTACATCCTATGCCCTAGCCCCTGCTGCCATTGCTGGAAGCCAGGTGGCCACATGGCCCAACCACTGGTGTCAAGCTCCACCCCCATCCTAATGGGATTCGCTGCTCCTGCTTCCCTGCCCGCCCTCCAGCAAAGTTTTAAAAGGACCTGTTCCTGAACACGTGGCTCTCTTGGCTTCTCTATTCTCTCCTGCTCACTCTCTCTAGCCCTCTCTCCTCTCTCACTCCCCTCTCTCCTCTCCTCTCTCCTCTTTCTCTCTTACTCTCCTTCTCCCTCTTTGCCCCTTCCCTCCAGCCTGCTGGGTTTCCCCAATAAACCCTTTCCCTAAAAAAAAAAAAAAAGAAAAGAAAAGAAAAGAAAGAAAGAGAAAACTATGTGTTGCAAAATCCCATTTTGTAGAAAAATAATTCATATAAGGAGAGAGTGAACCTCAATAACAGATAAAAGCACACAAAGTAGAAGATATGAAATATTTCAAAAAGTTAGTGGAAATGAAATTAAAGGATAAGATTATTTTGGGGCAAAAATAATGTGAAATTATTCACAAAAGAGGTCTTCAAAAGGTTCATGGAAAACAAATTACGAAAATAATTATGCACAGATCTCATATCGTTTTCACCAAAAAAGTCCTTTAATTACACCTTTCAACAAACTTTTCGATATACTCACAAAATATTACCAGTGATGTTTTCCACTGAGGCGACAGTACGTCAGATTACAATAATTTCTTATCTGTTCCTTTATGCACTTAACAAATCTGACATAATTAACATCAATTACTTTGCAATTTAAAACATATACTATTTAAACTTGTTTTTAAAAGCATTAGTATATATGGAGAATGGCTCATAGAGCCACATCACCTTTCAACTGGAAGCTATTTTGTCTGTAAGAATATTTTCCCAATATTGCTTGAAAGAAAAAATCTGGTGTTATAAAAATTTTCTTAACAGATAACTTTCCATGATGTACTGTTCTATGTATGCAGGAATGTATGTGTATTTGTTTATGGTATTTTTATTTCCACTTTAACTTAAAATTACAGTTAATTGCATCTAATATTTCTATAAAATAATTTCCTCCTACACACTCCAAAATTTTACCAGTAATGGAAAACAACAAATACAATTTCTAAATATAAACACAAATGTAAACTGTATAAAATATACAGTATTTTGATGACAAATTTTAAATGTGTAAATTTTTTAAAACAAAATTAAAAAAGATTAAGTGATTACATACCACTGCAATTCCTGCAGAATAATGAGGAGCACATATCTTTCCAGGAAACACTGCACCCACATAATCTGGATAATCCCTATAACTAAATAAATACATTCATTGTAATGATCAATTTAAATCTCATAATTTGTGCTAAATTAAATCTGTAGTTCATAAAATCCTGTTCTGAAGTAAGTCGAGGTACAATATGCCCTTCTTTCAAAGTTTGAAGATATTAGTAAAAAAAAAAATTGGTTGAAATGTTTTGAATTTTCTAAATACAAATCAAAGATTTTGATGACTTTCGGCACTCATCACATTTGGTTAAGGTTACCAAAACCCTTAATCAAAAAAACATCTTATTGAATGAAAACAAAAAGTTTTAATTTATGGGTCAAAATGTGTCATTCCTACATAGAAAAACTCAACAGATTTTCATATGAATGTCTTCATTGTCTCACAACTAAATAGTGTCATTCCAATTTTAAATGTGGCCCTAGTGATACTCTCACATAATAATAATACAATTATCAAAATTTACATGAGTTATCCCTTTAATCATCAAAGCACACCAGTGAAATTAATCTTTTATCCACATTAAAGAAAAACAAAATCAAATGGGAAGTATAAGTAATTATCTTAAGGCAGCATAATTAATGAGAGCTACTGAAGAACTCAAACTTGGGTAGCCTGAATCAAGAGCTATTCTCTCAACTATGACGTATAGATACTTCATCCATATACTATCATCTTTAGGGCTCTCCCTCAAAAACATATGCCAGAATGTCTGTAAATAAGTTTGGTACTCAATCCTTAATTTGATATGTAACTTCATGGTTATTCTACATCCTCAGTGCTGCCTCTGTTCTGCTTCTCTGATATTGTTTAAATGAAACTCTTCTGTCACTTTTTTCCAAGTATTTATTCCTAACACTCAATATTGAGAATAAACTACAGTATAGAAGTATTGTTTACAATCTTCCTTTAGCCAAAGTAGTTCTTACAACAGATATTTTAACAAATTTCTATCTAACTCCTAAGATTTCCCCTAAAGTGTGTATAATACTGGTTATCACATTAATAGTAATTTTTTAGTTCACACTCCTACTCCTTAATGTGCCCACTTCATATTAAATTAGCTGTCAAGACCTATGTTTTATATCTTCAATCATTCATATATATCCTTCCTTCCTGCGAAGATTCAGCATGAGATCTAATTGTGAATTCCATCCTCTTTGAAAAGAACTTAGCTTTATGTTTCTACAATATTTCTCTGTCTACTCAAACTGTCCAACTCCTTTTGTACTGCTATTTAGCCTTTAAGCTGGCCTTTCTATATATCCCTCCCATCTACCTTGATCTTGTTCTCAATATTTTACTTAATCTGTATTGTAAACAAATATAGATAATGCACATTAAGTTTGAAAACTTCATTGTGCCCATTATAGGAATTACTCACAACAGATTGTAAGATCCTGGAAAAAAGAGATAGTAATTGTTTATAATTATTTTATTTTCTTTCTTTTTTTTTTTTTTTTTTTTGACAGGCAGAGTGGACAGTGAGAGAGAGACAGAGAGAAAGGTCTTCCTTTGCCGTTGGTTCACCCTCCAATGGCCGCTGCGGCCGGTGCACCACGCTGATCCAGTGGCAGGAGCCAGGTGCTTCTCCTGGTCTCCCATGGGGTGCAGGGCCCAAGCACTTGGGCCATCCTCCACTGCACTCCCAGGCCACAGCACAGAGCTGGCCTGGAAGAGGGGCAACCAGGACAGAATCCGGCGCCCCGACCGGGACTGGAACCCGGTGTGCCGGCGCCGCAGGCGGAGGATTAGCCTATTGAGCTATGGCGCCGGCCTATTTTATTTTCTTTTTTTAACAATTATTTAATGAACATAAATTTCCAAAGCACAGCATATGGATTACAATGGCTTCCCCCACATAACTTCCCTCCCACCCACAATCCTCTCCTTTCCCACTCCCTCTCCCCTTACATTCAAATCAAGAATCATTTTCAAATATATTTATATACAGAAGATCAGTTTACTATATATTGAGTAAAGATTTCAACAGTTTGCACCCACACAGAAACACAAAGTGAAAAATACTGTTTCAGTACTAGTTATAGCATTAAATCATAATGTACAGCACATTAAGGACAGACATCCTACATGAGGTGTAAGTGCACAGTGACTCCTGTTGTTGACTTAACAAAATGACACTCTTGTTTATGGCATCAGTAATCATCCGAGGCTCTTGTCATGAGTTGCCAAGGCTATGGAAGCCTTTGGAGTTCACTGCTCCAATCATATTTAGACAAGGTCATAGTCAAAGTGGAGGTTTTCTCCTCCCTTCACAGAAAGGTACCTCCTTCTTTGATGACCTGTTCTTTCCACTGGGATCTCACTCGTGGAGATCCTTCATTTAGGTCATTTTTTTTTGACAGAGTGTCCTGGCTTTCCATGCCTGAAATACTCTCATGGGCTTTTCAGCTGGATCCAAATGCCTTAAGGGCTGATTCTGAGGCCAGAGTGCTGTTTAGGACTTCCGCCATTCTATGAGTCTGCTGTGCATCCCGCTTTCTGTGTTGGTTCATTCTCTCCCTTTTTTATTCTATCTGTTAGTATTATTCAGACACAAGTCTTGTGTATGTGATCCCTTGACTCTTAATCCTATTATTGTGATCAATTGTGAACTGAAATTGATCACTTGGACTAGTGAGATGGCATTGGTACATGCCACCTTGATGGGATTGAATTGGAATCCCCTGGTATGTTTCTAACTCTACCGTTTGGGGCAAGTCCGATTGAGCATGTCCCAAAATGTACATCTCTTCCCTCTCTTATTCCCACTCTTATATTTAAAAGGGATCACTTTTCAGTTAAGTTTCAACACTTAAGAATAACTGTGTATTCAGCAGATTCATAGAATGCCAGCTGTCCTATACAGAACTCTGGCCTAAGAATTAGCCCTTAGGGCATTCGGATCCGGCTGAAAAGCCCATGAGAGTATTTCAGGCATGGAAAGCCAAGACACCCTGGCAAAAAAAATGACCTAAATGAAAGATCTCTGTGAGTGAGATCCCAGTGGAAAGAACAGGTCATCAAAGAAGGAGGTAGCTTTCTCTGAAGGGAGGAGAGAACTTCCACTTTGACTATGACCTTGTCTAAATGTGATAAGAGTCGGTGAATTCAAAAGGCTTCCATACCTTGGAAACTCATGACTGGAGCCTACAGAGATTACTGATGCCATTAACAAGTGTGTCAATTTGTTAAGTCAACAACAGGAGTCACTGTGCACTTACTCCTCATGTAGTATCTCGGTCCTTAATGTGCTGTACATTATGATTTAATGCTATAACAAGTACTCAAACAGTATTTTTCACTTTGTGTTTCTATGTGGGTGCAAACTATTGAAATCTTTACATTAATATATACTAAACTGATCTTCTGTATGTAAGAGAAATGAAAATGAATCTCAATGTTAATGGAAGGGGAGAGGAGGCGAGAAAGGGGAAGGTTGCGGGTGGGAGGGAAGTTATGGAGGAGAAGCCATTGTAATCCATAAGCTGTACTTTGGAAAATTATATTCATTAAATACAAAAAATGTTGAAAACAAAGAATAACTGTGTATTAATTACAGAATTCAACCAATACTATTAAGTAGAACAAAAAAAAAAAACTCTCAGAAATAGACAGATCAAACGGACAGAAGATCAACAAGGAAATAGCAGATTTAAATGACACTATAGCCCAAATGGATCTAACAGATATCTACAGAACTTTTCATCCTACACTTAAAGAATTCACATTCTTCTCAGCAGTACATGGAACCTACTCTAGGATTGACCACATACTAGGCCATAAAGCAAGTCTCAGCAAATTCAAAAGAATTAGAATCATACCATGCAGCTTCTCAGACCTTAGGGGAATGAAGTTGGAAATTAGCAACTCAGGAATCCCTAGAGCATATGCAAACACATGGACACTGAACAGCATGTTCCTGAATGAACACTGGGTCATCGAAGAAATCAAAAGAGAAATCAAAAACTTTCTGGAAGTAAATGAGGATAACAACACAACATACCAAAACTTATGGCATACAGCAAAAGCAGTGTTAAGAGGAAAGTTTATAGCAATAGGTGCCTACATCAATAAATTGGAAAGGCACCAAATAAATGAGCTTTCAATTCATCTCAAGGATCTAGAAAACCTACAGCAAACCAGACCCAAATCTACTAGGAGAAGAGAAATAATTAAAATCAGAGAAGAAATCAACAGGACTGAATACAAAAAAAATACAAAAAATCAGCCAAAGAGATGGATTTCTGAAAAAAAAAAAAAAGAAAATTACACAAGAGAAAGAAGGGAAAAGACCCAAATCAATAAAATCAGAGGTGAAAAAGGGAATGTAACAACAGACACCACAGAATCATCAGAAATTACTACAAGGACTTGTATGCCAGCAAACAGGGAAACCTATCAGAAATGGATAGATTCCTGGACACATGCAACCTACCTAAATTGAACCAGGAAGACATAGAAAACCTAAACAGACCCATAACTGAGACAGAAATTGAAACAGTAATACAGGCCCTCCCAACAAAGAAAAGCCCAAGACCAGATGGATTCACTGCTGAATTCTACCAGACATTTAAAGAAGAACTAACTCCAATACTTCTCAAACTATTCAGAACAATTGAAAAAGAGGGAATCCTCCCAAATTCTTTCTATGAAGCCAGCATCACCTTAATCCCTAAGCCGGAAAAAGATGCAGCATTAAAAGAGAATTACAGACCAATATCCCTGATGAACATATTCGCAAAAATCCTCAATAAAATTCTGGCCAATAGAATGCAACAACACATCAGAAAGATCATCCACCCAGGCAAAGTGGGATTTATCCCTGGTATGCAGGGATGGTTCAACATTCGCAAATCAATCAATGCGATACACCACATTAACAGACTGCAGAAGAAAAACCATATGATTATCTCAATAGATGCAGAGAAAGCATTTGATAAAATACAACACCCTTTCATGATAAAAACTCTAAGCAAATTGAGTATAGAAGGAACATTCCTGAATACAATCAAAGCAATTTATGAA